CCCCCCCCGGGGGGGGGGGGGGGTGTTGACTCTGCATTTAGGAAAATCCATCCCTATACTTACTTCCAGTCACAACCTGTCGCCTTGTGTGAGCGAACCTTTGGGTGATACTGCATTACACTTAAAAGATCTTGACATAGTTTTTTCATTGTATGTGATCTTTAGCTTTGTGTACAAACTGACTGACTTTGGAGCTGCCAGAGAACTCGCACCTGAACAAGAATTTATGTCGATTTATGGAACAGAAGAGTATCTGGTTGGTTCGTTAATATGTGCTTATTTTTTATTAAGGGACAATGGCAACAAAAAATTTTATTGTCTCATTCGAAAGAACGTTTAAAATTATCTTTAAAATCTTGTTACAAATTCTCATATCTTGTTTCGTGAAATATTTTGACTGAAAGCAATGAGCTGTCCGCCATGTTGGGTTATTGAAGATATGCAAATTTTTTATCTGCACGGGTGATCAAAATGAACCCGAAATTCATTTTTGGTTGCTATTTCAAATTTCGAATTGAATAAAAACATTTTAATTAAACAACTTTTGATTGTTACTCAGTAAAAATCTGTAACAAGATTTTATGTGTTAAACGTTCTTTCAAATGAGACAATAAAAATTTCCGTAGCCATTGCCCTTTAAGCCGCAGTACACATACAGCAAAATTCCGCGTATAAGCTTTACTACCTGAATATTAAGTTGTATTTCATGACTCTAATGTATCGCACCATTTTGGTCTGCACTCTATAAAAATCAGGAAGAAGTACACTTAAATTATTGTTAGACGTATATTAGTATTGGTAATCGCATGGGGCCGAGTAAAATGAAGTACTTTTTCTGGTGTTCAAGTTTTCATTAGAAGTTTTTAATTCTTCAATAACATCATTATCCGCGACGACAAAGCGAGAAGCCATTGTTTTTATTGCTATTTAATAAGGGTCCGCAGTAATTGGCTATGGGCTGTTGCGGTGTCCCTGCCACTTTCTCTTTTTCTTAAGGCACGTTTCTTGCCTTCTGACGTATGAGTTTGTCTATATTGTAACCTATGTCTATATTGTAATCTATTCTATGTTTGGCGAATCAAAAATTTTTTTAAAAAAAAGCAAGAAACTTCCCGCGCTTGCGTCTCAGCCAATCAGGTACAAGTAATTTTGCCCTAAATTAAGAAAAAATGCCCTCCTCATTAGCCAATCATATTTGACTAATTTTGCCCTCTATATATATATGTGATTATACACGGAATGCAAGTTGGAAACATGTCGATGAAAACATCGAAGTCCTTTGTTGCATGCAACCGTAACACAGGGGTCTTCCTAAGGCCTCCCATTTTCTAAATGAGCTTTATATGAAAATTAGTGAAAAATTAAGCGCCCAAACATACCTTTAAGGAGAAAAACAAACAAATATCACTCTGAAAACGCAGGAAATCTAAAATTATTCAAACTTTTCTGGGGGAGCATGCCGCAGGACCCTCCTAGCTATTCAGGTATCTAATACGCCATGACCTCTTATCTCGTTACTGCAACACAATTAGCTTGTGTTCACTACCTCGCAGTCTGTTCTTGTCGAAATGGGCAGTTCTAAAGGATGACCCCTGCTGTAGCATGTTGCTGCATGAGAGTAATATGTAACTTTCATATGACAGTATTCAACTGTTTTAACATCATTTCAATTTACAAAAGTTGCTCAAAAACGGTTGATTCGCTTTAAATTAAAAAATATATCCCTTTGAGTGTACCTTCCTTTATTTTGCTTTCAATAGAAGACAAAATGATTCATTGACAGTTCAGTTGTGGCTTTAAGGGAAACACAAATAATGACTGCATAGTTCAATACTTTGACATGCATATATTTAATGCTTCCAGCTACTTGTTATGGTTGAACTGCAATTTATTCTGATGCAACAACAACAGCATTTTTATTTTCTACGTTTTCACTATATTTTAGTCATCTTCTGGTATGAATTAAATTACATGTATAACAATGTTGATACAGTTCCAGTAAGCTCAATGGAACACCGATAGTTCACATGATGCTTCGATGCCGTGATTAAGTTCCGGTTCTTGTTTTCGTATGGCGAGATCGTCTTTAAATAATAATAGACCAGTGTTTAGCTTTGTCCACAATAGAAGAGTTGTTTAAGGGAATTTGCTTAAGAAAAACGTACTAGGGAATAAAAATACTAAGTGGTTCCCGTAATTTATTCTGAAACAGAATGCGTCATTGTAACTGTACAGTTTGATAACTGAAAGCAAATTGCTGTTAGCTTGTAACTGTAACTGTAACTGTAACTTGTTTAATTTTTCAGCATCCTGATGTGTACGAACGAGGTCTCATCAATAAATCGGCCAAAAAGACATTTACAGCGAACGTAACACACTCGTGTTTTCTTAATAGTTGTAATACACTCTAAAAACCCTTTGGCTCAAATTTTCCTCTGGTTATTTTATCTCACTTCCTATATACCATACCACTGGAAAAAAATTGAAAATCCATAGAAGGTCATAGAATATAAATTGTATGGACCTTTATTGGAAATAGAATGGATTTTGGTTATGCATAATAATTGTATAATTCCATACTATGGATATAGTATCGAAATGTATGGATATACCATGGATTTGGGTGCAATTGCAAATTTCGTAGTATGGATTTCACCTTTTTTTTTCCAGTGTACTCTGGTAACGTATCCAGGAATCTGGTTATATTTGGCCATGACACCCTTATTAAAGTATAACCAGACTAGGCTATATAGGTGCATACTTAACTATAGAGCCCTAGCGAAGTCCTTGTCAAATGAACTAGATTATAGGATACAATAACCAGAAAAATGAACCTCAGTGTTTTTAGAGTGTAAGGTTTAGCTGGGTAAGTGGGTGATATAAATAGACTTTATACAGGGTATAAAAAAAGGTGCACGGTCTAAAATGTCCACTAAACTGAAATTTCCGCAACATTGGGGTTTTCTGCAACCTCGTACCCACGGTACTGAGGTTGGGTCGTCTGGTATCTCTATCACAAAATATTTCTACAGATCGGACCCTGTAGAAATGCAGTTGGCAGAAAATGTACTCTACCAATCGCGATTTTATTTCAAGTAATCCAATGAGAATTTTTTTTTGTATCTGCGCGAACTTTCACGAAATAGTTTCTGATTTATGTTAATTATACTATGAACCACGGTAGCCTCCTCGCGGCCCGAAATTTTGAAAACGAAACAAATTCAAGCTACGCACAGGCTAAAACCACGGCACCGTGTATTGAATTGTAGAGTTAACCAGACATATAGTTCTACAATGTGGTGCCTCGAAGCATGCGCAAAACAGCACGTTGGCAGCTTAAACATGTGTACCACAAGCGCGAAGACTAGCATTTTTGAACAACTACCAAGGATTGTGATACTGACCAAACTAACATACTAAAAAACTCATGCATACCAAATACAAAGCAATTTATTCAAAAAGTGGGAACAAGCGTGTTCAGAAATTTTTGCTAATGGATTATTGAAACTTGTCAATTGAATTGTTTGTTGAGCGGACACCACCTTTATCTATTTCACTTCGCTTTCGATTCGTAGAAAGCAACAAATGAAACAAACAATACTTCTGTGCGTTTTTAGGTAGACTTATGGAGTCTTGGTGTGACATTTTATCACGTCGCCACTGGTAAACTGCCATTCAGACCTTACGAGGGAAGAACGAATCGATTTACAATGTATGTAATATATGCAGGGTTTTATTGAAATATTTTTAAAAATATTTTAGCTTTCTATACGTATACGTATAGAAAGCTAAAATATTTTTTAAAAATAATTTTGAAACAAATGAAATGTTGAAAGATTAAAATAATTAACAATTATTATACAATGCCTATACATGCAGCTCGATTGTGATTGGCTAAGACCCTACACACAATTTTCAATGTTTTGTCACGTACTGTGTATAACGACATTGAATATTGTCTGTAGTTGACGTAATTTTTAATGTGGCAACTAACAAGCTTTTCTCAGCCGCCAGTTAACGTTGTCGTGTTGTTAAAAACTTTGTTTCAAATGTTTTTTTCCAAAGATGTTTTAATTCTTTTTGTGAACCTTCCATATTCATTTTTGTTATCAACGGCTGTCACCAGTAAAGTTGATCTTGTATATGTCGAAATGTGTCCATGTATATCGCTTCCCTACAAAACTCTCTCAAGGCTTCTGCATTTATAGTTGTATAATAAAACAATTATTGAATTCGCATGATATCAAGATTCACGCATTCGTATTTCCACAGCATGACGTCATAACATTGAATATGATTTTTCATGTCAACATTATGTCGTTGATGTATGTAGTATTAAAGTATTAATTTAAATATACGTTAAGGCATGAGATAACAAGCAAGAAAGCACCAGGGATTATTTCTGGTATTCAGAAAGAAGAAAATGGACCTATTGAATGGAGTGACAAACTACCCGAGCACACCAGGCTGTCACAGTGAGTAACATTCATTAATATACCTTCGCTCTAAAAACTGGTTAAAATTTGCCCTATTTGGGTTGACTTAATATTCTTGGTTAAAATTTCTGGTTATGTTAATCTTGTTCCTACTATTAGTCTGGTTAATTTGAGCAGGACGTCTTGGTTAAATTAACCAGATTATGTTATGTGACTAAATAACCAGGGACCCATCCACCGAACATATAGTCTGGTCAAATATGACCAGATTCCTGGTTACATTAACCAGACGTAGGAATAACCGAAAAATTTAACCAGAAATATTAAGTTCACCCACATATGTTAATTAATTTAACCAGAGTGTTTTTAGATTGCATTGTAACAAAAATATTAACGGCTGAATGGAACACCATTAGACAGATTATATCGGAATAAAACTGAATGTCAAGTCTAGCTATTTTCAGCATGGTCGCGTAATTTTGAAAACGATTGTTGATACATGCAGTTTTCTAAAAAGTATTCATTTAATAACCTGAAACTACGAGTTTGAATTAGACTTTTTTTCCTAATGGTATCAAACGCCAATAAACACTTAATGCGATGTTACACGGCCCACTTTTTAGTAACAATTTGCAACATGAAACAATTTGCAACATGAATTATATTACATGAAATTTGATTGAGTAGGCACTAGGCAATGATTTGCATAAGCCTCTCAAAGGCTTTTTTATTCCCGAAAACAAACCTTTGACGAAATGTCCAACACTTGTTGTGAACCTTGCCTACTTGACATTGGATTTTAATTTTTTTATGTATTAATTCCTGTTGCAGATTTTTCATATCAAATTTCTTGTTGGAATATCTTGACTGAAACCAATGAGCTGTCGGCCATCTTTAATTAATTCTTGACCTTTAATGACGTCTAGAGTGGGCTAGCTTTATAAAATGACCTCTAAGTGACCGAGTGACTCTTTTCAATCCGAAAAAAAGCAACCAAAAACGAGTTTTGGACTCATATTGATCAATGACTGTCAAGATAGAAAGTTTGCCTGACCCCATGCACTTGTGACGTAACATCCATATCCTCAATAGTCCAAGATGGCTGACAGCTAACTGTTTTCAGTCATAATATTTCAATAATCAAGGAAAACATGAAAAAGCTGTAGAGCTCTCTCAAATTAGACAAACTAAGTTTTTACTGCCAATGTCCTTTAATGATGCCTGAATACTTTTATTTTACAGATACCTTTTTGTGTTGTTTAAATTTACTAGCCGCCTCTAATGTGCACCATAATTGAATATTCCATGTTTTGTTTTTTCCTAGAGGGTTAAAAGAACACATTGTGAAAATTTTGGCAAATCTTCTCGAGCCAGGGATGAAATTTGATGACTTATTTCAGGCCATTGAAAACATAAAAGCCATGAAGGTATGGTATGAAAAAACGTACGGTTAAATATCTCTAGATGAGGGCTGGATCAGATTTAAGTTGGACTTTTTTATATTTGTATAGATTATACATGTTTACAATGCGCAGTCTGGAACTTTTCATATAATCTACGCCAATCCTGAAGACAAGTAAGTCACTAAATTAAAAGGGATATGGGAAATTTGTCTTATTTGAAGACCCTTATATATGAAGACCCTTACAACTTTTTCGTATACCTTGCTTGGTTTTCGAAATATTTTGACCAAAAACAGTGTACAGCCGCCATCTTGGTATTATAATTGACCTAATTTAAGTGAGTTTTTGATGACGTCACAAGCAGGGTAAACTTGTTAAAACGTCTTCATGTGGGACTAAATTTATTCGAAAAGTTTCTTAAAATGTTATGAGTTAATAGACCTTTCCCCTTTTAAGTGAAATTTTGATCTAGACAAGTATGGACAAAAATTTCATCACAGCTTGAAAGAGCATAGCAAAATTAGTAATATTCCGAAGTTTCGTTGCAAAATGTTGTAAAATGCGGATACTATAGCCTTGCGAAGTTTGCCGTTTTTCAGTCATTTTGTATTACAAACGGGAAATTGATAGTCAGATGATCAAACTGATTATCAATTTCCCATTTGTAATACAAAATGACTGAAAAACGGCAAATTTCGCAGGGCTATATTATCCGCATTTTACAACATTTCGCAACGAAACTTCGGAATATTACTAATTTTGTGATGCTCTTTCAAGCTGTGATGAAATTTTTGTCCAGGCTAGTCTAGATCAAAATTTCACTTAAAAGGGGAAAGGTCTGTTGAGTACTAAAAAGACTTCGGAAAATCGAGTTTCATATTGATAATGACATGAGGATTGCAAGATAAAAATTTCGCTTTTTACCCTACTTGTGACGTATGCATATCGAATGTATATCTAAGATGGCCGAGTGCACGCTGCTTTTGATCAAAATAAGTCTATTTATTTCGAAAACCAAGCAAGATACGGAATAATTGTAAAGGAAATTTATATATCACTGGAAAAAAATTGAAAATCCATAGAAGGTCATAGAATGGAAATTGTGTGGACCTTTATTGGGCATTGAATGACTTTTGGTTATCCATAATAATTGTATATTTCCATAGTATGGATATAGTATGGAAATAGGATGGATATACTATGGATTCAGTGGTGCAATTGCATATTTCGTAGTATGGATCTCACTTTTTTTCCAGTGTATCATTTTAAATGAGACAAACTTAAATTATATTGCAATATCCCTTTAAATTGAATGAAGGGTTTTGGGCTTCTGACTCTATAGAACTAGTTCCAGGAGTAGTTGCGAAAAATGCAAGTATTATCATTTATAGACCTGGAGCGAGGGGGATTCGGCGTAATATTTCCCGAAGTGATGATATTTTCCGAGGGGCTTTGCCCCGAGGAAAATATCATCACTAAGGGAAATATCGCCGAATCCCCCGAGCGGAGGGTCTATAAATGATATATTATACCGAAAGTTAAAGAACTCACTAAGAGTCTATCAAGTTCAGAATAAACTTTAAAACTTGCTGAATATTAATAACTACGCGAATACAATTTTTAATTTGTTATCTATACCTGAGTTTTTGACGTTTTCTCCTTAAGATATTTGAGCAAGTATCCTTTGGATCGTTGAAAGTAACATACGTGTTGAAATATTTGGTTTACTTAATATTAAAATCTCCTGTAGTTCTGTACGAGCTCGCGAACGCCATATTGTTTCAGAATTCAGAGCGTGGTGTCCACGCGTCGCGCGTGAGCGTGGGATACTATAATATCCATAATATCCCACGGTGGATCTGCCGTGGGGTATTATAGTATCCCACGCTGGATTGCGAAATCATGAATTTGAGTGAAATACCGTAAAAAATCACACTACCACGTGGTACAAATGCTGTTTTTTCATTGGACAATTTGAATTTGAGGTATAATATTAGCCCTTATAACTGAGCTACAGAGTCCATGCAGTTGTCGAGCTCTAACCACAAGTTCATGTATATATACTGAGGTGAATAGGTGATGCCAATTGTAAGGTGTATGGCATGCAAGTATATTACTATCCCATACATATTTACCCATGCACTTTGCATTGATATCACTTTGGTATATATTCATGAACTTGTGGTTAGAGCTCGACAACTGGACTCTGTAGCTGGACTCTGTAAAAAGTATGTTTGGTGTTTTATATGTAAAATAATGCCAAAATGAAAGATTTTAGATGGTAAACCAAAGAGAAAATGATCTCTGAAGTTCAGTACGTTTTGGTTATATTGTTGTAATAAATATGGCGTCAATTTTACAGCATCAGTAATAATTGTATATTAAAATTGACAGAAAATTTAACTGTTATTTTTTGTTTTCTCAACCGCCAGATACATTTGAAAAGGTTGCTAACTGTGTAAACTACAAAATAAAGCTGAAACAAAGTAATTTTGAGAAGAATGACAAACCATTTTCGGTTTTGAGCAGTTCATCGGAATGAATGGTCGCTGTGACACTGGAGCGACACAAGTTCGGCACATGTTCGGCAAAGCTTGTCGCATATTGCGATATTGGAGATATTGGAGCTATATTAATTCAAACGCCGCGCCACTCATGCATGTGCACCAAACCTAACTCAACTTTTTTTTAATTTGTTAATATTAGATCATAGCCGTATTGCAATTCAAAAGTTGATTTATTTGTTTCGAAATTTATTTAAAATTGTCATGCAAATGTGCCCCAACTTTGTTAATAGCATATCTTGTACGCCCTTTCAATCATTGCCGGCCGCGGTACATAGTTCCGGCACATGAAAAGTAAACGCGCCTTATTGTATTCTGTCTATATAGTTTTGCTCGTTTCCAAGAACTTGTCGCAATCCAAACTGGCGTGAGTGCTCGACAACAAGATCTGTTTTACAACAATGATACTTTCAAACCGTCGTCCATGGTGAATGCCTCGACATATCCTGATACAACGGTAAGATTATGCTTCAAGAAAATGGTGAGATAGTTCTAAAGTGCGTATAAATTTACGACGTCTGCAGTAGAGGTATGAATCGGATCGGCCTCTTAGAATCCACGTTCTGAAGTTCCGAATCCCAATCCGATCTGAAGCTGAAAACGTATGATCCAAACAGACAATGATTTAATAAATCCGATGATGATGATGATGATAAATTTTGTTTAACCATGCTAACATTGTCAGCTATATATAAAGCTGGTTTCCCCAATGTGCGTGTAAAACAACAAATTATTACAGGATGCTTGTGATGTTACTCTGAGTGTATATCCATACCGGGCAGGCTTGATAATATGCCTGGCCACGGTGGGATTCGAACCTACGACCTTTGGAATACTAGCCCAATGCTCTGCCAACTGACTGCTACGCGGTCAGGTCGGTTCGAGTATGCGATATTTCGGAACTGATTCTAGTTCCTTCGATATTAGTGTAATCTAATAATCATGATATTTGCTGTGATGGTGTAGTGTACTCAGGTGAATAAGATGCTTGTGATGTTACTCTGAGTGTATATCTACACCGGGCAGGCTTGAAAAATATGCCTGGCCACGGTGGGAATCGAACCATGTTCTTGCTGCATTAAGTCGTAAGATTTAATTATAAATCTACATGACCTTTGTATAAATGGTGCATGGGAATTAAAGTGATATGTATGACCTGAACCATAATTTACTGATGCATTAGGACTGGTAGATATATACTAGAAGTTACAGAAGTTACAGAAGCGAGCCCTTCTGATAGAAATTACAGAAGCGAGCCCTTCATATAATCTTCCCAACGTTACCTTATGCAGAAGCTTTGGTAGAAGCGGGAGTTGACTCATTATTTAATAGAAGACAAATCCTAACTACTAAACTATTTAATGATATTGCAAATGACGAAAGTCATAAGCTTTACCAATTACTACCAAGTAAGAACTTTTCAAATTATAATATAAGGAAAGAGAACATTTTTAACGTTTCTATTAGTAGGACGAATAGATTTAAAAATAGTTTTATACAGCATAATTCTACAATATATTTAAGATAAAGTAAATATTTATATAAGGAAAGAGAACATTTTCAACGTTTCTATTAGTAGGACGAATAGATTTAAAATAGTTTTATACAACATAATTCTACAGTGTATGTTAGATAAAGTAAATATTTATTGTAAAGTTAGAAGCGTAATTCAACCCGTGGGTTGTAATGTTTTTAATTAATTAAACTATCTATCTATCTATTCTAAGATGTATTGCAGTACGGACTAACATGACCAGGCAAAAAAATACATCGTGCTAATTTTTGAAAACAAAATATGAAAAATTTTACTTTGTCCATTGTCCGGGAAAATTGATAAATGTCCGACCAAGTTTTGGCTTGACCGCACATTTGTCCTTTCGGGAAAAATAATTATTTGCAGGCCTGCAGTATATATTACATATATAACTTGAATTATCTACATGTAAGAACAAAAGTAAATTAAGCAGTTTGCATGGACAACGGCGGGAACGCGCATTGAAAATGTTTTATTACCGAGTGGATTGCTTGCATTTTTCTAACACGCCTAAATATATTTATAAGATAATAAGAATGATAAAATATATTTACAAGAAGAGCACTGGAAACTTATATATAGTTTTTCTTATAACATGTTTGTTTCAAATATTTAGGAAAAGAAGCCGATATTAGTACTTGGTGGGGACAGTATACCGTCGGAGAAAATTTGTGGACAGCTGGAACGTATGTGTATTAAGGCCGTTTTCCACTTCGCCCGTATCGTACCGTAACGTACTGGTGAGCATGCGCAGCTTGAAGATGGGTTTTCGAATTTACGCACTTCCGGTTGATTCGCGTATCAAAATAAAAAGTTCGTCGCAAGTCAACTTTTTAGCGTACTACGGAAGTATTAACCAATCAACATTCACGGAATTTTGAAATTTAAACTTTGTTTTGATACGTTACGCTACTGTACGCTTGAAGTAGAAAACGGCCTTTAGATTGTGATTCCATATTGGCATGTTGTTATATAGACTTGTTACAATTCAATTTGCACAGTAACGCATTGTAACTTGTCTCGCATTGTAAGCACTAAAACGAATGAGCAAATGGGCGAGCTTGAGCTCCTGAGTCGAATTGTCGCACTTGCAGTAAATTACATCTCCTGATTGGCGCGAAAAATTACATGAACTTTGAGCTCAGCCCCGCCGCTAAATAATACTTGTCGATTTGTAGTAATTATACACTTGGCAAATTCTCTTGGTTCAGTGAAGGAAGGCTTTCAGTATAAACTTCCCTCTTGGAATTAGATATATCCTTGTCTTGAACATATGTTAGGTAAAAGCAAAAATGGTGGAAATTATGAAAAACAACTCGTGGAAATTGGGAAAACTCGAAATTGTGCGAAAACGCTCCACAGTTTCTCGTTTTCCCAATTTCCACTTGTGTTGATATAACTATATATCAACACGGAAAGTGTTTTATATTTGTTAAATAAAAAATGTTTTATATTTGTTAAATATAACATTACAAAAGTGCGTAGTTACTATATAAAGTTTAAGATGAAGGCATATCTTTCAAAAAGTCTTTTTCGTCACTGCGTGATATCGGATTCCTTGGTGACTTTTGCTTTTTAAACCGTTAGTGAAAAAGCCAAAATTGCACAAGAGCACAAGCTTGGAGTCTTTGGATTCGGATGCCGTAATAAGCAAGGTGAGAAACTGTTGTTTATTGATTATTTTAAACCATTCTTAACCCATTGAGCGCCAGTGCATGCTCTCCCCTTGACAAATGGCAAGTAAAATCGTCCGGCGTAAGACAGAGTGAAATAATAATATAGGGCGCATTGGAGCGCATTGCAACTTAATGGTTTAATTAGACACATGGGTAGACAGTCTAATTAACCCATTGGGCGCCATTGCTCATTTCTTGATAAGTAAAATTGTCTGGCGTTAGATAGAGCAAAGTTAGAACCAACACTTGTGGTGTCCTGGTCACCACGCTTGCCTTTCAAGCTGGGAGACCCGGGTTCAATCTTTGATTGGACCTCTACCACAGAAGAAGGTACACAGAAGGCCGACTTCTTTGTTTTTCCTATGATTTTGCTATGATTTTGGCGTAACCTGTAATTCGTCATCAAATGCTGACGCCATGGTCCTAGCCAGTGCGCGTTTGAGAGGCATTCGCCCCCCTGATATTATTCAAAATGGCGGATGTCCAGGGGGGGGGGGAATGCCTCTCAAACCCGCACTGGCTAGGACCATGGCGTCAGCATTTTGATGATGAATCATGGCGTGGCAGCGTTACTCGAGTCGACCTTCTGTGTACCTTATTCTGTGCCTCTACTCAAGGTCTTAAAATAATTGAAAAGAAAGTATTACCTTTGCATTGACATTAGGAAATGATAAGGACGTTAAATTCGCTGGTACCTCGGATCCCCTATCAATTGGGCAATAGCCTGTTGGGAAATCCGCTCACCAACGAGTGAGAAAATCAATAAACTAAACTGTAGTAATAATGTAGGATGCATTGGGGGCGTAATGTAACTTGATGGGTTAAGGTTACTTCACACGATGAACGTGCGTTTTAGTCTATTGGACATTGCTCAACGAATTTTAGGTGTAACCTTACCAAATTTTCAGTGAAGAAAGCCAGGAAAATGCTGATTTCGAAAATTTTCATTTGATTGTTCTGTTTAAATATTTTCAGTATTGGCTGACTGAGTAATTATGTAGGTACCTTCATAAAAAAATCAAAATATGTTTATAGTTTACCTCAACGGTTGTCTAGATATCGCAATTCAAATCTTCATAGGCATGGTAAAAAATCCGTGTTCGGAAAATTTCTCTTCTTTAGTGGTTTTTCTGATATGCCCTGATTCTTGGATTTGTCACTGATAATTCACTAAGTTGTCAAAGAAAACGTCATATCAGAAAAACCATTGAAGAAGAGAAATTTTCCGCACACGTTTTTTTTACCGTACCTATGAAGATTCAAATCGATATATGTAGACAAACGTTGAGGTAAACTATAAATATATTTTGGGTTTTTTATGGGATACTTATGTATTTCTTTAGTCAGCCAATACTGGACATGTTTAAGTTAAACAGAACACCCATCAAATGAAGATTTTCAAAATCAGCATTTTATTGGCTTTCTTCACTAAAAATTTGGTAAAGATACACCTAAAATTCGTTGCGCCATGTTCAATAGACTAAAACGCACGTTCATCATGTGAAGTAACCTTAACTTGATTAATCTACTCACTATTGTTCACTTAAGGTGGTTGCTAAAAATGTTCATTACTGCTTGCACAATGTGAAAAACCTGGAATTATCAAGAATTTTGACTTTAGAAGCAGCAGAAAACGTCATGTAAGGATTTTAATATTTTATTTTTCGCTAATTAAATACAGTATGACTTGATCTATAGTATATATAATTATCAGGCGTGACTCCCCAGTTCACAGTTAAAAGAACTGCGCAGATTCGCAGAATGATTTGCAACCTGACTTCGGCACTTACAAAATGACTTGACTTGATTTGACTTGCTACTCGGAGTCAATGACTTATGACTTCTTGACTTGGACTCAGACTAAATGACTTGTGTCTTGACTTGCTGTCGGACTAAATGGCTTGTGACTTGACTTGACTTGGACTCAGACTAAATGACTTATGACTTCTTGACTTGGGCACAGTCATTTAGTGACTTTTGACTTGATTTGGACTTGCAAAATAAGACTTGTTAAAACCTCTGGATTAATAAGGAGTGAAATAAAAACACGTACTATTGTTTATTAGTGCTCTAGATATTAAATCATGCACTCTTTAGCTTCTTGCCATTGTCTGTCGCTGCGCGGTTTGCCACCCAAAAATGACGAACAAGGGTTGGTTGCATGGCGTAACCGCAATCTATTTTAAAGATTTGAATTTTATAAACATTTTAGCACACTGTTGAAAAGAAAAGCAAGGAAATACTTGGACGATGCCAAAGCAATTGAAAGTCACTGCCAGAGCATAGTAATGAAACACCACGCTTGCCTAAATGGGTAAGTGTTACCAGGACTACAAATTATTATCGGACACCAGATTAAATTGTGGCAATTGTCCGACCAAGTTTTGATTGGACGTATATAATGTCCGTCGGAATAAAATATATTCTTTGTATTCTAAAAGCTCCCTCACACTCAATGAGTTTCAATAAGTGCAACTCACCACCCATTTAGCCTCCATTCATTTTCACTGAGTACGATACTTACACTCAACATCCAACCATTCATTGACAGTGCTCGCCTTCAACTTGGGGCCTGAATTTGAGTAAAGCTTTAGTGAACGATATACGTCCCTTGAGCTGCACTCTCTTGTGCTTGGGTACAACTGACTGTAGAAATATGTAAATGCTATGATTTTTAAACATGTTAATCCACCGGCAACACTAACAAGAAACGACAAGGGCTACTCAGACAAGTCGCACTCGAGTGAACTCTATCGCCTGTATTAGGCCGTTTGCTGTGACCTCGAAAAGTGCCTAGAAAACGATTTTCATTAAGCATGTCTTGGAACTGAAATATTTTATGGGAACTAACACTTTAGAACTCGCTGAGTTCAAATCCGAAAACTTCCCGCACCGTCGACCTGCAGTTTTCTCACAAACTGCGATTTTATCTTCACTAATTTCACGACAAATGTTTTCATTGTTCAACGACATGCACGGATGGATGAAGACACACGATTGCATAACTCAAAAATGACAAAATGACTAATTCCTATGAACCAGTCTCTGCATTGAACAAAAGACCGTTTTGCATGGATCATTTTGAGTTATGTAATTTTAAGCGCGTTGGACGTAAACAACATAATTATCTTGTCTACACCTTTGGGAAGGTACCGCGATATCGTTTTGTAAAATCCTCAGTTCTGGCTGTATCTCTATAAAATCACAAGGACCGTCAATGTTAAGTCATTGGGCTATGTTTCTGGGATGAGAAATTATAATTCCTTACATGCAATCAAAATGTTTTATACAACGATGTAAAACGGTAATCTTATGGAATGGGTCAGCATTTCCATTTCCAACACAGTTTCTGAGATGTAATTCAAGAGGTAACTTATCATTGCATTGAACTTATATTAAATCAGTTAATTTTTGGTGTTATCCTGTGCGATAAGCGAATATTATTGGAAAGAGGGCTGCCATATACGTTAAAATAACCAAATATAAACAGCTTATCCACATATTTCTCCACTTCGTCGTAGGTTTACAGAGCAGACTTTATACTTTGGCACTGATCTTTGTCTTTGATGTGAACATTTATTCTTCTAGTTTAAGGTTATTTATAAGATTGATACTGTCGCAAGTCTTCTACCAGCAATCAATCGACAACATTTCATTTTAACGTTGTCTTTGCCGTTACGTTGGCTTTGCATTACTTTTGTTTTAAATACCTTGATCGCGTTAAATTAGTTATTTTTCAGGCCAGTGACATAGCCAAAAGACTTAGCATTAACTTCCTTGTGATTTTACAGAGATATCGCTAGAAATGAACATTTAGAAGGCGTTATCTGTACCTTCTCAAAGTTGTATGTTGTTTACTTTACGTTCAACACGCATAAGATTACACAACTCAAAATGATTCAAGCAAAACGGTCTTTGGTTAAACGGAAGACTGGTTAATAGAAATTGGTCGTTTTGAATGATATAATCGTGTGTCGTCATCGATCCGTGTCGTTGAACAATGAAAAAATTTGTTGTGAAATTAGGCGAAGATAAAATAGCAGTTTGTGAGAAAACTGCGGGTCTACGGTGCGGGAAGTTTTCGTATTTGGACTTAGCGTGTTCGAAAGTGTTAGTTCCCATAAAAATATTTCAGTTCCAAGACATGCTTAATGAAAGTGAACGATAACGGGACGCAGCAAACGGCCTATATTCTAAAAGCTCACTCACACTCAATGTGTTGAGGTTAAATCCGAGCTTCCCTTGAGTGTCAATACTGTTTTTGAACAGCATTGACACTCAAGGGAAGCTCAGATTTAACCTCCACTCATTGAGTGTGAGTGATTTTTTAGCATACAGGTGTATGAATACAAATGAACAAGAGTGAGTGCTCCCTCATACAGTGAGTGGAGCGTTAGACTAATATCTCACTCAACACTCGCACTTCAATCCCTCTTGAGGTTACGACACTTGAATTTTACTTAATTAATGGTGAGTGTGAGTGATCTTTTGGAATACAGGTGATTGTCTGATGAGTGGTCAAGAGGAAACTCTGTTATGATTATCACCTTTGCAATTTATCGTTTAGTATGTTAATACTGACTACAATTCCTATTTAATTACTTTTCAATTTGCTTTTAAGCAAGGAAAACTTTTCCCTTTTCTAAATTTTAAACTAAATTTAGGACTACTGTATTAAAGTAAATTTACTGTTTAAAAGCACGTTGTATAGTACTATTTATCAAGGGCCGAGTTTGGTCAAAACCATCTGCGACACTCTGTTAAAACATTCTTCTGTGTTTTTTTTTTGAACGACAAAATTCAAGAATCAACATTGAACGTTGGTTGTAAGGGGGAGTTTTTTAAATTAGCGATAATATTACGAAGTTTAGTCAAATAATTGGAAGTGTCGCAGATGTTTTGTCCAAGATTCTAGTAATAAACGTGCTATATATATTGGTACAGGTCTATACGGTTTCGATTGCAACTTGGAAAAAGCATGCACGATTGAGTTTTTCAAAGAAATTCGACATTTTCGAAAAACTCATGAGTGTATGTTTTTTCAATTACTTACTAACACCTGTGTACTCACCTATTGTTTTCATCATGCTTGTTAGCAAACGTTTTCAATTCCAGGCTCTGCATGCTCTTGTAAATTTCACAGTAGAAATTGCTTTGCATTGAATAATTTTTTAATGTATATTATCATAACTGGAATTGAAAAATTGTAAATTTCAACGGTTCTTCATTTCAGATGTAATTTTGAGAAAGAGGTAATGCAGTTGTTGGGTAATGACGAAGATATACCCAAAGGTAAGTTGGCGTTTCAGACACGTCGGCGGGCTCTATATATCTGGAGTTTCTGCAGCCCAAATGTCAGTCATTCGACCAAGGAGAAAAGCGAAGCTATATAAGATGGCGGAAATTGACGTCTTTGTTATACCTATGATTTGTAAACAGTTTTAATACCATTTTCCTGTTGACTGAAAATGCAAAATTTAAAGTTTGCTTTCCACAAAAATAAACTATACCATTATATTTAATTATATAAGTAGGTATATAAGCCATTTAAGCGAGTAGTGCAAATTTTCAAGGCGGGTTTGAGTTAAAGGAACTAATAGCCCATTTTCTTCATTTTTGAGCGTTGAAAGCTCACAATCTGCTACGAGAATCACACTACTCGCTCAAATCACGGTTAATAGGACTGCTTAAATGTCTTAATAATCTGTCTTAATAATATATATATATATATATATATATACTTTCTTGCGAACTTTCTAAGGGTATAGTTTATTTTTTGTTAAACTTGAAATTTTGCATTTTTATCATCATAGTGCTTTTTATAGGCAAAATTTTAAAATTCTCAAAATTTCGGTTATAAAGCTAAATCAGAGTTGCCTATATAGTCCTTGTTCATTATTTTCCATACTCTACGAAAATGTCAGTTGGCAGCTTGTAACAAAAAATTCCATCCAACTAATTTTGTTGCATGCGCATTTTCACGTGAGAAAAAAGTTTGGTCTAAGCAATTTTGGAGATTTGACTAGAGACAACATTTTTGTTTAATAATTTTATTATTATCTTTATTAGAAATCGTCGCCGAGCTAGATATTCTGGTTAGGGAAACAGACACTTTCAAGAAAAATATGGATAAGGTAGCTCTATCATTTGTAACTATATTCCCCTAGAACATACTGTACTTTATCTGTCCAGTGTTATTAAAGGATGAATACTATAGACATAGACATTTTATTTGAACCCACTTATTACATTAGTTTTACATTACATTAATTTTTTGACATGACATGGGTTCCGTCTGCCCGAAATAACCATTAAGGGGCTAGATGAATCAGGCAGACGTGTTACACACAACGCTTGACAAACAGATATAACGAAGCTTAATATATAAAGTAGTCAATTTACATAAATATTTTACTCAATTTAGCAGAACCACAGAGAGAAGCAAAACACCATATAATTATGAAATTATTATTAAAATTTAGAATGTTTTAGCAAAATCAATAATTAAAAATAATGAAAGCAATTCAACAATTCGATTCAACAATTCGATACATAAATGAACAGAGCAATAGGCTAATATGAATAAAAAAACATTTCCTTAAGTTTACTTTTTAGATTAAAAACTGACAATTTTTTATCGGCCTCATCAAGGGAATTCCATATCTTAACACCCTGGTATCTAATATTAAAAATTCCATAATTAGTTCTTGTTTTTGGCAAAGAATACGACTGCCTTGATGCTAACCTCGTATTATAAGTATGTAATTCTTTGACTGGAGTGAAAAGATTATTAAAGATAGGTGGTAATTCCTCGTGATAATAATCATGCATAAACATCGTGGCATGTAGAGTGAAAAGATCATGTAATTTAATTATTTTTAGAGATTTCAATATTGGTGTGGAATGAGCATCAAATTTAGAAAAGTTAATTATACGCAAAGCCTTTTTCTGTAAAATAAATAAAGGTCGCAAAGATGTAGGATATGTCATACCCCAAGATATTATACCATAAATGAGAAAAGGGTGAATTAGAGCATAATATAACTTTATCAAGGTATTCAGGTTGGTAAAATAACGAATTTGAGAGAGTAGACCGATACTTCGGTACAGAGTAGACCGATACTTTGGTACGAAAGCCAAATTGCTTTTCGTATAGAATATTTTTACGGTGGAGAAAATGAAGAAGTCTTTTATACATGAGTTTCTCTAGTAACTTATTAAATATTGATAAAAGTGAAATAGGTCGATAATTATTCAGCAAACTATGCGACCCTTTTTTAAAAACTGGGATAACACGAGCTATTTTAAATTTATCAGGAACTATTCCTTCAGATATAGAGGCATTAAATATTATTTCTAATGGTTTGCATATAACATGTTTTAAAATTTTCATTGCCTTAATTGGTATGCTAAATGGTCCGGAAGCCTTTCCATTTTTTAAACTTGTTATTTCATTTTCAATCTCTATAGTTGTTACCGGAAAAATATAAAAACTATCATGATCTGTTTCATCTAAATAATCTATTGGTGATTTATTTACATTTGGTATGGAACTTGAGAGGTTACTACCGATATTTGCAAAATACTTTGAAAATGAATTAGCTATTTCTTTTGAATCAACTATTTCACAATTATCATCTTTAATTTTAGTTGGAACTAAATGGGCTTTTGGCTTCAGTTGAATAATTTCTTTGAATCCTTTCCATATTAATTTACTATTATGCAAATTTGTATCAAAATAGCTATTATAATATTGACGTTTTGCAATACGCAAAAGATGATTTATTTTATTTCGATAAAATTTAAACCTATTATAATAATACATTGATTTGGTTTTTAGATATTTTTTATGGAGTTTATTTTTTACCTTGATGGAATTCTTAATTCCCCTTGTTATCCAAGGCTTAGACTGAACATTTATCTGTCTTTTAGACAATTGTTTAATTGGTATATGTGAATCTACAATTTGAGTGATTTGCTCATAAAATAAATCAAATAAATCTGAAGGATTTTGGTTATTATATGATAGTAAAGCAGTCCAATTAACTGACTGAACTTCAGCAATCAAAGCTGTGTCATCAAGTCGAGAATAGTCTCTCTTATACATCTTAACATTTGTTGGCAAATTTGAAAATTTATGAATAATTAAAAAATTAGGCAGATGGTCAGAAAGATCATAAATTAAATTACCACTAATGGTAAAATGATCAAGTGAGTTAAAAAATATATTGTCAATTAAAGTTGCAGTATGATCAGTTATTCGTGTTGGTTGCAAAATGTACGGTTGAAAAAATAAGGTGGTTAGCATATTAATAAATTCATCAGTTCCAGAGTGAGAATCAAAATTTAAAATATTTAAATTAAAATCACCCATAATCATACAGTACTTATTCTCCCTGTGGATCCGATCAAGAGTTGAATTCAGATAATCCAAAAATATATTAACATTGGCAGTAGGATGTCGGTAAATGATTCCACATAAAATATTATGCTGGCCATCAATTGGTATCTCAACCCACAAAGCTTCAAATTCCGAGACTGAAACAGTTAATTCCTCACGAACAATACTATTGATAGTCTGCTTAATATAAAATCCCACACCACCAGCGTTTGAATGACTAGGCTGAGACACAAAACGATAGCCATTTAAATCCAGATTTAGCAAAGAACACTCATTAAATCTCAATTTTGTTTCAGACAGGCCAATTATGGAAAATGGGAAATTCAATAGAGATAACATATGTGATAATTTATCATGATTTGCAGACAAACTCCTTATATTGCAATTTAAAGCAGAAAAAGAATTTTTATTCGAAAAACATTCGGCTATATCATTATTATTGCGGAACTCATCAACGCCATAATAATTAAAATTGACATCATGCAACATGTGGCAATCAATATCTGAGTTTGTCAAATGAGAAGCATTTGTAGCTACAGAGCTAGATACAAAACCAGGCAACAAGCTATATTGCTCGATTCTACTTTCCATGCTAGTAGACATTACCTCAATATTCAATTAAATAAACACTTATCTAATAAATAATAGATAATAGCACAACAATTCACTGGTAAATATCACTCCCTCAAATGCTGAATGTCACGCTGATTTTTAATGTTGATGACAGGACTAAGTTCATTTCTTCGTAAATATATATTCCCATTGTACGTCCAAATGAATATATATTGGTATTCCTTCTTCAAATTGTAAGCCATATTGAACAAAACTTTATTTCTTTTGGTCAGACTTTCCATAATAAAAATTTTCTGCTCGATTACATATCCAAGATCTTTTGTGGTTAATCTATTAAGCTTCTTACGAGCTTTATATAATTTCTCTTTCGTCTCACGCCGTGTAAATTTCACAATAATTGGTGGTGAATTCTTGCTTTTCCCTTTATAAGAAACGTTGGGTTTCAGCCGATGACTTGTGGATATATCTATATCCGTAATATCAACATCGATCGCCTTTGCAATGTCCTTTATAATACTATTAGTATTTTTCTGATCATTCAAGCATGGTATCCCACGGATTTCGAGACATTCACGTCTGATATATTGCTCCATATCGTCTTGCGATTTCATTATTTCTTGCAATTTGTTTGTAGCTCTTTGAAGTTCATTATTCAGAGCTTTATTTTCATTAACAAGAGACTTCTTTTCTTCTTCAAACTTCGACAACTTGACTAATATTTGTTCATATTTTTCATTTATGAACGACATTGAACTGATTGCCTCATCAATTTTCTTATTTAATGGCTCTAATTTTTGGTCAAAAATAGTATTTAAAACTTCTGCTGTGATAACTGACATAATTGAGACAAAATAAACTTCAAATAACATAAATACAACGAAATATTAACGAAATATAACATAAAAAATACAGAGCTTACAAAGCTCCGCCATCTTAGTTGACCACGTGTGATGGTCAGTTGACCACGTGTAATAAGCTATTCTGGATAACTCTATCAGTTTTGACTGTTCTCCCAAGAACTCCACTGAGGGGGAAGTCCACAGTGCATGTGTTAAGAACCACCAACGTGAAATTTAGGCAATTAATCGCCCAAAATAGGCATAGACTTGCAGATTTTGGCAGATATATGCTTGATTTAATACAAAAGCAAAAACATAATCTGTTGTTTGGTACTCAACGTCGACGAGGATGCATTTCAGCACTATTAGTGTTTTTTCTGTCATCAGCTAATCAGCTTTCTAATTAAGGAAACAAATAATTTAAAACACTAAACCAGGAACAGTCTTATTTTCGCCTAGAAATAAGAGCCAGTTAAGAACTAACTCAATCATATTTTTGCTTGAAACGATCGTAGAGAAACCGGCGATATTTTTAACTATTTCATTCTCGCTTGCAAATGGGAAAAGTGGGTTTGAAGTATGATCCGTTTGAGCAATGCTTTCCCCAACCATGCTTGCTTGTTTGTGAAGTTCTTTCCTATCATTTCAAGTCAACATATTATAAACACCATCACACTTTATAGCCAATGAAAATTGTTATGCGCATTTGATTATATGCTATAACATGTTCAAACACTCATTAGTAATTCATAAGCTTATTGGCAAATCATGTCAACCATAATATGTCACGTGCAGTGGCTTTAAACCTGATAAAACACTCCTAATTAGTATTCTTTATATACAGAATACTAATCAGGCACTATCTATTGTTGTCGTGTCCTCATTGCCCTCATTAGTATTTTTTATGTAAAGAATACTAATAAGGCGGTATATCTATTGAATTTGTAGTCGTGTTTGAAGCCGTTTTCGCGCTCGTGTCTTTAAACCTAATAAAACACTCCTGCTCGTTTATCAAACAGTACTTAAATTGCGCAATATTAAGTATTATTATTATTATTATTATTGATTTAGACAAATATGATAGCGATAACAAATTTATTAAAGAACGACGTTTCGAAGTCATCTTGACCTCATTTTCAAGTTCAAATTATAACAGAAAACGATTAAATTAATATAAATAGCGTTTATTAATTTAATCGTTTTCTGTTATAATTTGAACTTGAAATTGAGGTCAAGATGACTTCGAAACGTCGTTCTTTAATAAATTTGTTATCGCTATCATATTTGTCTGAATCTATATCAAAAAGTTTATTGATAAAAACTATTATTATTTGTGTAAAGTAAATGAAATCTGCCCTGCATAGTTAGGGAATACAGGTGAAATGTATTGCTTGTCAGGATTATCTTCATTAAATTACGTTTTAAAAATTATTATTATTATTCTGAACCCTATATAACGAATATCCGGTCGGGTATTTTTCAACTATCCAACATATCCGGTTTCCAGCCTAATCATATAGAGGGCAAAGTACAAATTTATTGGTTGGAATTGGAAGATATAGAGACGTACGAGGTTCAAGAACTTGACAAGTTCACAATTAACTTACGAATAAATTTTGCCCTCTATGATTAACAAGTAATCGCACAGTTCCTCGTTAATTTCACTTGTGTTGTCGAGGTTTCACAAATTGCCCTCGTCGCGATTAATTTTACTCGACCCCATGCGATTACCTATACTAATAATATACATGAAAAATATTCTCAATTCTGATTGGCTGAGAGCAGTGCAATTTCTTCGAAATACAGTGCCAAAAAAGTGAAATACATGCAGTGCAAAAAAATGAAATACAGTGTCAGTGCAAATTAATTTTCTTAATTTCTAAATGTGACTTACGCACGTGACTGCATATTTTTTTCATGTATATTATTAGTAAGTTATGGTATGGTTTTTCGTGCAATTTGAAAAAAACATACACTCGTGAGTTTTTCAAATAATTCAAATTCACTCGTCTTTCGGACTGGTGCAATTTTGATAGTCTATCTATTTATCTAGGGGTACAATCTCGGTTTAATACAAACGCAATATGCACCTCTACGGCTCTACCCCATGCCACCAATATGCACCTCTATACACCATATCATTAAATGTACTGGATTCTTTGAGTATATAATATATCGCTAGATTCCGTAAAAAAAATACTTTACATCTAATTTTCCAGCTTCAAGAAGCAATGGCTACACCGATGGAGAACTTACGTACGACTGCGCAAACTCTGCTACATGATGGCGAACTGGCGAAAAAATGGAAGGATATGAACGCAGATGAAAAACCCGAAAACTAGTAAGTGTTACACTCATTATTACTCGGTAGGCAAATTGTCCACAATTGGTCATTTGCGGGCGTTTCATATCCGGGAAAATCCACCTTCTTAAAGGTCATTTCAGGAGAAAAGGCTAAAAATCTTGTACCAAATAACACAAAATACAAAAGGACAGTAACTCCAAATAACATTTTGTAGCTTTAATGAATCTACAGGTACGTTTCGACTATATTTTAGTCATCATCAGGACAGATTAGTGTAATGTTACAAATACTGATATATATATATATATATATATATATATATATATATATATATATATATATATATATATATATATATATATATATATATATATATATATATATATATATATATATATATATATATATATATATATATATCAAGAGCCAGCCCCAAAAAATCTTCATTTATAAATATCAAAAAATCAAAAAATCATAAATCTTCAAAGTAAATAAATTATATTTTTATGTTTCGGGGACAAGCCCCTTTTTCAGAATAACCGGTTATTCTGAAGAAGGGGCTTGTCCCCGAAACGTAAAAATATAATTTATTTACTTTGAAGATTTATGATTTTTTGATTTTTTGATATTTATATATATATATATATATATATATATATATATATATATATATATATATATATATATATATATATACATATATATATATATATATATGTATATGGTGCTACTTTTAAAAGCCATGTTGAAGGGCGGTCTTTCTGCATTAATCATCGCTTTGATTGTGACTCGGAGGGTATAGTGTATTTGATTAGTTGTAAATTCTGTGGGTTGCAATATGTGGGGAATACCATAACACCGTTCAGATTGCGATTTAATAACCACAAGAGTGCATTAAATAGATATGGGCGGGGGCAGAGAAATATTTGTGGGCAACATTTGTATGCCCATTTTTTGGGGGGAGGGACATTCAGGTCTAAGTGATTTTTTAGTGCAGGTTATTGACGTCACGGACGTTAATAACCCCACCGAGAGGGAGAGTTTTTGGATTGAGAAACTTAATAGTTATGTCCCACGTGGGCTTAATTTAAGGGAAGAGGTTTAATTAATTTATGCATAGCTAAACGTTAGACTATTTAAGCAAGAGACGGAGATGATGTAGCGTTATTCTGAAGAAGGGGCTTGTCCCCGAAACGTAAAAATATAATTTATTTACTTTGAAGATTTATGATTTCTTGATATTTATATATATCTATATATATATATATATATATATATATATATATATATATATATATATATATATATATATATATATACAGAAGGAAAGGCGAACTCCAGACAGATCAATAATAATGTTTTATTACAAACGTTTCGCCAAAACAGGCTTCATCAGTGTAAAAAGTTAAAAACACAAGGAAGTTAACTCATGCGATTTATAACCTAGCCTATGAATAATTAAGAACTAATTAAGGACTAAATGAGAATACTCTAGGGATGTTTAAAAATATGGCCTATTATTGCGAAATAATTAAATTGATTCTAATTACTAAAGTTTATTCTGTTCTTCGACTTGAATTCGCAATAACAGGCCATATTTTTAAACATCCCTAGAGTATTCTCATTTAGTCCTTAATTAGTTCTTAATTATTCATAGGCTAGGTTATAAATCGCATGAGTTAACTTCCTTGTGTTTTTAACTTTTTACACTGATGAAGCCTGTTTTGGCGAAACGTTTGTAATAAAACATTATTATTGATCTGTCTGGAGTTCGCCTTTCCTTCTGTATACCTATCTATAATATTTTAAGCGTCGTGTATCCTTTGGATCCTCCAGACAAGTGACATCAACGTTGGCAAGCCAGACTATATCCATACCACATATATATATATATATATATATATATATATATATATATATATATATATATATATATATATATATATATATATATATATATATATATATATATTGTACTATAATATATAATGTACTATAAATAGATTGTACTATATATATATATATATATATATATATATATATATATA